TAATTATAAAAAGACACAAAATAGAAAGGAAGATGCCAGAAAGAAAAGGAACTTAGAGAAGAAATGAAAGAAAACTAAAGGAAAAGTGAAAGAAACATGTTAAAGACACAAGACAGGAGAGATTGAAAGAAACATGTTAAAGAAAGAAAGTCAGAAACTGAACGAAGATAATAAAACGATAGAAAGAAAAAAAAAAAAGAAACATGAACGAAATATTGCTCAAACGCACAGTGAGAGGTTTTAACTTCCTACTACAGTGAACACACAACTCATATGCAACTTAAATAACTTTTCTCCAGCTGCCATTTGACGCTCGAACCAGCCACCGACAGTGAAAACTCGTCTGTACCTCTTCCTGCCGAGAAGCCTTGAACTCGGCGTCGGTGCCCCGCTGCTTCAGCTTGCAGATCTCCTCGCACAGACTCTCCAGCAGAGACTTGGAGGGTCCGACCATCACCGACTCGTCGTCCCCCACCGTCATGTAGATCCGCTCGTAGCGGCCCAGCCTCGCCTTCAGGTCGGCGATGATGTTGTCCTTGACGTGGATCTGTTTGTTCAGCAGCTCGGTCTCCTGCTGGGTCTCGTGATACAGGCTGGTGATGGTGTTGAAGCTCCGGATCTTGTCCGTCAGCGCGCCGCTGTTCACGCCGACATTATCCATGGCAGAGATGGTGGACTGAAGAGAGGAATGAATTTTTTGAAAAAAAGGGGGGGGGGATGTTTCTGTTAATAATCCAACATTTGACGCCCGCTCCCGTGTCTTCACTGAGGATCTTCACCGAGGATGTCGTCTGAGTCCGAGGTGAGCAGGAGAATAATATCCCCGAGCAGAAGGGGGATTTCCTAGGGAACTTCCCCGCGTACTTTTTTGGAGCTTCGTCAAACCGAGGCCTGTCTGCTCCGAGACCCACCGTCACCGTGCGGGCGTGTGCGTTCACAGCCCGCCGGCACCGAAAACTACACGATGGCACGGACACGCACCGGTTTTTAAAAAACGCATGCTACAAACTTTGAAGCTAGTTTCGCGGCTAACAGCTAAGCTAGAGGTACCCGCGCGCTGCGTTCACAGCCGTCGTAAACCACAGCACTCCCAGCGGAATTCGTTCTTATTAAGCTGTTTTATTCCGCTTCAGCAAATGTTTCCTACTAGAGTCCTTTTTTTTGTTTCAGCTTCTTAAATTGGCCTGGATGTTACCGAGAAGAAAAGTTGAAAAGAAAGTTTCATCCCCACTAAAGGTCAATTATCTTGTTTTTGTTGTTGTTGTTGTGGGGTTTGTCAGAAACTAAGGGTTAAATAAAGCCCATAATAAGATGAAGTCCCCTGAAAGAATCGTAAAATTCAATTCCTAAACGATTACACATTCACAAGAATGACATTTCCCCAAAGGTAGTTTACAAGGTTTCCACCTCCACTCATCACGTCCCCTGAACGTCACACCAGAGCATTGTTGAAGCAAATTCCCCAAATACTCCACATACATAT